GCGTCACGCATGGAAAAGAGGTTAGTATACGCGGCGAAAGTTATGTCTCTGTAAAGACAAATCGCATACACGGTCCGAGAGAAGAACTACGAAGGATTTCTGTGGCAGCATATATACGCTGGGAATCCTCCACATAACGTGTCAGGGAGCACGGGATATAGATACGCTCGATGTATAAGCACCCTAAGATACTAGGGCGTACCTGAACGATATAAGGATTCGTTCAGTCACGCCATAATGAAGACACAGTAGATAATCGTATGATATATAGTTATGAACAGGTGTATAAATGGATACTATAGAAGGCTAGCAACGCGATAATGGCAAGCACAGATGATTAGTTATTTTGGGGGAAATGTGACGCTGAATACGGCAGAGTATATTTAGTTAGGAACATGTTGTTATGACATATAAAAGGCATGTTAATACAGTAAATGAGTGAACAGTGTTTGTTGTTGTTGTTACATATCGATAGCATATATAGGAATGATTGAGTATGGGTACCCATATTTTAAATGGATTGTAAATATTGTGGTGCAGTCTGCTAATTTTTATTGTTTCTTAATATTGTGATTCACTTTTGCTTATAGCATATAAGCAAGAAGGTTCTAGTATCGGGGACCATAGTGAATATTGATTGAGCAAGATATGAATTTTGGGGGTAAATGGCTATGTGTTATTAGGTGTGAATCCTGCGGTTTAGGATGCAGAGATGTTGTGAGCTGGAGCATGATGTTGAATAAGCATATACATATATATCATATATATATAATGGCAGGGTTGTTTAAGGATCTTGAGGAGAGGGATATTACGAATAACCTGGGTTTCGATATATGTGTGGCCGCACATACATTAAAAGCATATGGTCATTAGTGATATTCGTTGTGGATGGAGCTACATACCGTACTCCTGGGGATATTTTTTTTTCAGTGATGTTATGATATCCATTTTCTTCCATTGTATTTGTTGCGTATTTTTGTATTTCAAGATGTTGTGTTGTGGGGCATTGCAAGGGAGACGTGTGTTGTTGTTTTTTTTCTCTCGGTATATTAAGCAATGAACAGTTTAGATCATGGTGGCTTGGCAATTCGGGTCAAGCATGTGGATTATATCAGAGTGGTCAGTGGGATGATTTCAAGGGGCTGTGTATGCCATCGATGTATAAGAGTGGTCATATGGATTTTTGTTCAAACTGTATTTTTTGTGTATGAGTGTATTGGCGTTCAGTGAAAGAGATATTATATTAGTATAGTAAGGGTACGAGCAATTTTGGGCAATGTTGGATGGGGGATGTGGGACAGGTGTGTGTGTGTGTGTGTGTGTGTGTGTGTGTGTGTGTGTGTGTGTGTGTGTGTGTGTGTGTGTGTGTGTGTGTGTATGATGTAAGTGTGCACGGGCGTGTACGTAGGGTGGATTAAGATTAGGGTTTATTGTAGATTAGCGAGGACGCTAAAGTCGATGGCTTATAGAAGCCATCGTCTTGCGAGGAAAGAAAAGTAATGTAAGAGTATGAGTTTGCAGATGTTTACAATAGTAGTTGGGTTGATTGGAAATGTCGCGCACGGGTGGTTGCATAATGGGTTAGTCGGCGCAGCCCGCGTTTTGATGTTTGTATTGGAGGATGCGAGAATGATGAAACGGTTTGAGAGTCAGTCTGTTTGTGCATGTGGGCAGGCGGGTGTGGTTTGTCCGCGCGCGCGCGATTGATTCGCTTTGTTAGTTTAGAAACTGTAATAAATGGAAGGTTCCTTTGATTGAGGAGTGAACGGGAAACCGAAGAGTGTGCGAGTCACGCGGATGTAGTGCCTCTTGTGCGCACGCATGAGGTGAGAATACAATAATACTATTTGCAAAACGAGCAACCTGCTTGCGACTTGGAGTGTTCCTTATTGCATCGCTACAACAAATCTTACTTTGAACGAGGCGTCGTCTTCCTCGTTAACAGCATATTACAACGTCGGAAACATTTGTAATTAACATGTTTTTGAGGGAGTTAAAACCAATTTTGCCACATCAACCCGAGAACGCATAATAGAGCAAAAACAGATAGCCCACATACGTAGTTATTATATATTACTGTATACAAAATAATATACAACACAAATCAACCAAAATTAACAGAAGAAAAAGCCACAATGTACTCCAACACTCGCATTGAAACCGAATAGGTTCTGATGTGGATTGAATAACCACATCAGCAGAATTATTAAACTATTATTAAATTGAGAGGACACATAAAATAATCATGAACAAAGCCACACCCCGCACACCCCAACACCAAAAAAATATGCAGATCCGCATCCATAATAAATACATGTTTTGCCGTCTCTGAGAAATCCGATTCGCTGATATTACCTGCAACAAAGTCAACTCTAGCTACCTGCATTGGTAATTCAATGGCTGCTGTAGTAGATAGAGCTCCACTCACAGCAGTCGTTTGACCTAGTGACGCAAACATACACACACACACACACACACACACGCGCGCGCGCGCACACACACACACACACACGCGCGCGCGCGCACACACACACATACACACGCACGTACGCACACACGCACGCACGCACACACACACGCACGCACGCACGCACACACACACGCACGCACGCACGCACGCACGCACGCACGCACGCACGCACACACACACACACACACACACTACAGCAAATTGCGCACAAAATCATTTACATGTCAGCAGCCGACAATGAAACCACGCAAACGACGTTATCATCGGGTAAAAAAAACAGCGTTCCAACAACCCAAATTTTCTACCCGGCAAAACACGGGCGCGGGCAGTTCTCTACCACGATGTGTGTAACGTTAGTGATATACATCTACCATGGACGGCTGTTCGTAGCGAAACATGACAAATACAAACACGGGTGCTTTCAATAGAAAATAAGCAGTAACCTAGCAGCAGCGTCAATAGGCTCGTGGCTGGCAGGAAGACAATGTGCAAACGCGGGATCGACGTCCGAACACAAAGACTCACCAAGGGAACAGAAAGAGTGACCCTATACATCATGTATCATAATAGGCACGTGCAAATATGACTCGGTTATTGATTCGTTGTCATCCGTAAGCGAGAAAGTCGTCACGTTACCGGTGACTCATCGTTGGCGGGGAAAATGTAGGAAAATGTTAACGTGTGAATTAGGATCGTTAACATACATGCGCAGGCGTTTACCTCCGTGTATTTTGCACAACTACTCGACTCTTGACAGTTTCATTTCATTAATTGTATCCCCCGAACGAGTTCGGGGGGATACTATGGATTTGGCCTCGTCGCGCCGCCGCCGCCGCCGCCGCAGAGATTTCCTTGTGAACGCTCTACCGGCTGCAGTTCTTCTCGGATCATCTTCAAATTTCGCATGAAGGTGCTTTATCGTAAAGCGAACACGCCAATCGTTTTTGGTGTGGGCGGAGTCATCGTTGCCATCGTTGACATTTTTTGTCGAAATATTCTAGAACCTGTAACTTCTGCAGTTTTTACCCGATTGTCATGAAATTTGGCACACAGGACCAATATATACATATATATATATAGGACATGTTATATCGGCCCTGTGTGCCAAATTCCATGACAATCGGGTAAAAACAGCACAAATTACAGGTTCTACAATATTTCCACAAAAATGTTGTTACCATGGCAACGATGACTCCGCCCACACCAAAAACGATTGGCGTCTTCGCTTTACCATAACACACCTTCATGCCAAATTTGAAGATGATCCGAGACCTTGACCTTGACCATATTTCCCTCTAACTCAGCCCCTAATAGACCTAGCGCGACCAAACTTGGTATGCTTACACATCTTGGGGAGAAGGTCTGTCGCATACCCAAACCACCACTGCCCTTGACCTTAGTTTGACCTTGACCGTCAACTTACATTTCTGTAACGTCTATTTTATACGCGTTACATGGATTAGTCAGTGGAGCTAGACTGGTAGTTGTTTTAGCCATAGTCCAGCTAGACAGCGTCGCTCAACCAGATGGGCGGCTACATTGATGTATTAGGGAGAATGGCATGGAGTGGTTAGGTTAGGCAGTTTCGAGAGTCAGTGTGAAATTGGGGTAGGACGTAGTCTCTGAGAACGGGTACATGTGCGGGCAGTATGGTTGTAGGAGTTTTGGGGGGTAATAGATAGAACAGAGATAGAGGATTGGGGTTCTGGTCGCGAGAGTACGCGCACGTGCGACCGCGTGTGTGCGCGGGTCTTTGTCTGTTTGTGTGATTGTCTGATGAGGTGGCTACACAGTGTATGAGTATTAAAGGTTGTACAGTTTACCACACAAGTTTGGATCTTCTTCATCATTTCTACGTGAACCATCATTCCTGTTTACATTTCCTCTTCGGCCTCCTAGGGTAACCAGATTCCATATACTTGCACATCTGAGGCAGACCAGTTGTCTAACAAACCTTTGTCTTTGTGACTTATTTAACTTTACCTGCCTTCTACGTCCTTACACAGATATTCCATTCATACTAGATCACGGGGGATACATGTAGTTGGCGACAACTGCTCGTTTCTAGTTATTTATGCCGAACCAATCGGCGTTGAACGGCAAATGAGATACGTTATGACGTCAGACCGACATTGTGATATAGAAAACTGTAGACTTTTAAAACATTAGATGTGTCACGGCTGCACAACATATGCAGCAACGTATAATTCGTCTGTAAATATTTTTCAAGATATCCTTCAACATTTTAAAGATATTTGTCACATTGCACTTTAAAAAATAGTCACACTCCCAAGATATATATGTAATACTTTAGTGAATTTATTGAATGTACTGTGTACTATCCAGAGCCGTATATAGAGATCTATATATACTAGTCAAGCTAGTATCTCTAATTCTCTATATACGGCTCTGGTACTATCTAGAGTACCTACATAAAGGTCTTTATGTAGGTACTCTAGTACTATCCCGACTGCCCTGCCATCTGTAGTTCATATTCGCAAGTAAAAAGACCATGACATGAATATAATTATGCCATCTCTTCAATAATTAATTGCATGGTAGAGCATATATTATTTACACCACATTTTGCGAGTATACTGGCTATACAAATCCGTCTCAATATAGCTGCTGCAATTTCCACGAAACCCAACAACAGGCAGTGTCGTGAATTGCTTGCTATCCATAAATGAATTGCTGCATAAAGTTATGAACCTAGTGCACAATGACAGACTATACACAGCAATTTGAAACATGGTACGTATATTACATTTTATCACAGCTGCTTGCACTTCTGAATAGCACACCAAATTCACCATGAACAATAGTCTATGCTCCTTTCGCTAGTTTGACTAATGATATAATTACGACGAAAGCCAGCCATGAAAATACTGCTGCATTTACTGCAGTCTGACTAGCATTGAGTTTATCCATAATTCTCTGTGTAGATTCATCAAGCATATCTTTCACGTTCGGTCCAATATACAACACATCGTCACCAGTGCTAGCGAGTGACATTGACGTTGACTGTTCAATGCTAGTCTTGATACTCTGCATGTCTTTTTGTAACACAAGTTCATTCTTCTGGACATCATTTAATATGTCATTCAACTGCTTTTTCAGATTTGCGATGCAATCATTTTGCTCTGAATTATTAGCGTTGTGTTCATTTAACTTTGACATCATGTCGTCAACGTCCGCACTGATTTCCTTCATCCCCTCCTGCGAACCTTCCATCGTGGCTGACAACCCCACGAGCAAATCATGCAAGTTAGCATTGCTGGCATCTCTCACAATTTTCCTCAGCTTGCGTTGGCGCACGTAGTTGTTAATTGTAGCTCCTAACACACCAATAGTGATCCCACACACAGAGCCAATAATCGACCAATATTTAGTTTTTTCACTATATTGTTGTTCCTGCCTTTGGCTTCCTTTAAGGGCTCCAGAGAGGGAAATAAAATGCTCTCTCTCCTCTTTTTCAAGGGCTTCATATTCCGACACAGCCAGTTTTTCCTCTTTGATTTTGTTATGTTCGATAGTGAGCAGGTCCAGATATCTGCAAATAGCATCAAGGTGTAACATTGTAAAAACTTTGCAGATCTTAAGTATGCGAACATAACTTTGAACAATAAACTATCGGCTGAATAATCTGGAAGTGTTATAACTCAACATGATGAAATACACAATAGCATATATACAACCAACCTAATATTAATGACGAGATAATATAATACATTACTTCTGCAGACCATTAATTTGAATTCATTACCAGTATAAAAATTACAATGTCCTGTTTTTAGAAACTACAAAAATACTAAACGATTACGTTTACAAAGATTGCAAATGGTTTATAGCATTATATAGCACTGGTATGTGTACTTACTAAGACTACACATAATGCAAATTAATGTTTTACCTGTCATCACCTCGAGGAACCTTGTCTATATCTGATCGAATATCTTTTATAGCAGTCTGGACTGTTTGCAAATAAAGCTGCTTCTCTCGTCTATGTTCTTGTTTCACTAGGAACAACTTCTCTGCCTAAAAAATTATAAACGTATACAGAAATGATTATAATTTTCAACGTTTTATTTTTCTTGCCTCTGCAAAAACATGTTCAGTTATAATACCATCGTAATTTAACATTAAAACACTATTAATAGTGTTCACATTCATATTTCACATTTAAAGTGCTGTTCGTGCATGCACTTAATTGGTTAGTCCTATTATTTGCACTTAATTTTTAAGCAGTCCAATATCATGATTTACTGGATATCGTAAAAACATCTAAAAGCCACTTTTCCATTATTATTGACTATATTTTCATAATTTAGTTTCCATTGGCATTAAACAAAACCCCCAAAACTTCTAATAGCAATACTAATATAAAATATAATGCATTATAACTTGATTTACTACATTTTTAGCTCATCTGACGAAGTCAGATGCAGCTTGTAGAATCGCATGATCGTCCGTGCGTCCGTTCGTGCGAGCGTCCGTCCGTCCGTCCGTCCGTCAACAGTTGGGCACAAATCTAAACGGCTCGACGTACGGATTCGAAAGTTAGGACGTGGGGGGGTAATCCGAAAACGAGTTGGGATGTCAAAGCTGGGGGTCAAAGGCAAAGGTCAGAGATTAAAAGAAGGGAACATCCTCCTAAAACACTAAGGTTATAGGAAGGAAATGCAGAATGGCGGCACAATCTAAACGCTGACTACGGCCGTGACAGTGCGTGACGGGCATCATGGTAGGAAAAGCACATCACTGTGGGTGTCGAAATTGAGGATCACAGGTCAAAGGCAATAAGGCGCGGGCAGATTTAGACATATTCTGAGGACATGTCTGACAGAGAGCGATTGAAAAGAAAATTTGTTATCAGCGGTGACTAGCATTTATGTATGGCTTAGAAGGACCATGCAAATCTACCTTCTGCGACATGCGAAGAGTAAGTGTCAGAATAACCTTGACCGCTCAGAGAGAGACAACATGGAGTTGTTACTGTTAGAAGAATTTGACTGTCAGAAAGAATTTGACTGCAGTTGCTAGACTTAGAACGTACATGACCTGAGATGATGAGGCTACAAATTCACAGTAAAAATTTCAAACCCGGCGAAATTGGTTGAAGAAGGTTTATGCTCCTGAAGCCTATACATTTCTATGAAATTCGATACTGTCATGTGTTACATGAACTATGGCACATGCAGTGGCCACTGCACTGCATGGTGTGTACCGTTCATCTTGGCGCGTAAATTACAGGCGCCAGCTTCTCTATTCAGCCGTGTAGGCTGCGTAGGTAAATGCGAGAGTGCTACCATTCGCTCAAATAGTCGTTGCGACTACGAAGAGGGAGCTTCCCATCGTTTAATCTAGAAGACACTTAAACGTACTCGACCATCCCCGTGCAACTTCATAACGATCCAACAAACATTCCTTTGAGAAGGTTCCTGATACCATCCCTGTGCCTTCCACTGTTTCGGCGTGTATGTGGACACATTTGGGACTAACAGGGTTTACTAGAATCCCACCACTCCACCACAGTCACCGCAGTAGACGTTAGATGAGCGCTGTCGCTCCGCGGCACTTGTTGTTACTGGAAAGCTAACCAAACTGAAGCATCCACCTTTCATAAATGTGATCTTACTGATATCAACAAAAATAAATTGTGGTGGTTGCCCTACCGGCTTACATAAGTGTTGATAATAAGGGAGTTAACCCAGTGTTCCTGATTCGAATGTAGGAAGGGAGTGTTTGGCATGGTGTCTAAACTGTCTATCCAGTTTGCTTTGGTGTTCTAACATTTCCAATTAGATTCAAGGCAACATTTGCCTTGGCATAAAAAATTTAACCCATAGGTTACTAAAGCTGCTGCTGCAGTACATGCTTCACTCCAACTCAGTGTTTAGCAGGGCAGCACTTAGCTCTAGTACTATAGCTAGGCAGCACTCATCTTGGCAGGGTTCTGCCATTCATACCCACCTGAAATATTTCTATTTCAGGTGTACATCTCGGTACATTTTGGTTGCATTCTCGGGGCCTTTCAGTACAGCTCCCACGGGCATGCGACATGTAGTGTTTATTACTATTACTACTAGTATTAGAAAGTAATTATACAATGGTTACAGGGACAGCAGTCTGTTGTTTACCATCATTTTATTACTGAAACAGCTCAAGTGCATGAGGCTGTGCTGTGGTTACACTCCCTGTGTTATGACCTATGGCTATGTTACTGGATATTGCCAGCAGTGCCATTGGCATTGTACAGACCTGAATGACTGCAGCTTGTGCTTCCTTAACTGAGGTGATTCCTACAAAATCTTCATAGGCTTTCATCCAGCGCCTCATGCGTTCTACGACGTCACTTCGTGACCGCGTCGCTTGCTTTACAGAGCACAGACGCCGTTGAAAGCCTACCGATGAATGCAGTAAAATTCGGTTTCCTAGGCATAACGCGGCTGCCATGTTTAAATGATGACGGGACAAATATTTTGGCGTAAAGATGTCTTCACACACAACTATACAGTGCGAGTGATATACTTATACGATATCTATGGTTTGGCACACATAATATAATATTTAACATAGATATGCCTAAAGTCAAGAATTGACAAGCTGCATGAAAGTCCATGCCGGATATGCTGGGTGCCCTACGCCGGATATCATGGGTGTGGTAGGAAATTTTGCCGCTACTGGAATTTAGTACAGACTATTCTGATAAATCAACAGTTTATAACCCAAATACTTGCTATTATTTTAATTAGAGAACGAATTAAGTTTCAATGTGCATCTAGTGTAGCGGTGGACACAGGTACATCTCGATCAAATTTTCTGTTTCCGTAACTTCCTATGACACCGTAATAAAGGTCAACTCAGAACGAGGCTAATAAGGTGTAGCGAAATTTGGTATGTTTGTGTGTGAAAGTTCATTTACAGTATAACCATTATATTCTGTTATTGCCGTCCATTTACAATTTCATATGGTTTTAAATTGAGCAGTTAAATAATGTGAAGGTGTAAGTTGGGCAATGTAATGTCTAGTTTTATATAAACGTGTAGGTATTACTATTAGCACTACATCATGTGCATGGCCCGGGACCCAAACGCCGAAACGGCAAAACTAGGGTTGACCCCAGGCCCAGTGCACGAGCGATATCCCTAGTCAGGCCAGTCTAGGGCCTTGCACTTGTCATAGCTCTCAAAACCAGCGTACTGGTACTAAGTCTAGTGTAGGCCAAAGGCACGTGGAATAGAGCTCAGCTAGGCTCATAGGGTCTATGTCCCCCAGGGTACTGCCAGAACGTACCCTGGTAACTATCTAGCTGATATGGTTAGAGTTAGGGTTAGGGAGTAGGTGTAGGCGACTCCCTAGACTCGTTAGTGGAGTAGGCGAGGTACGGTTCGGCATATTAGATAGTAGTATTTAGTACCAGGGTACGTTCCGGTATACCGGACCGTACCCAGGGTACGTTCCGGCAGTACCCTGGGGGACATAGACCCTCTCAGCCTCAGCTAGTAATGAAAATATGGCTGTAAATTTCTAAACAATAATGAATAGGCTTTACTGTAAAGTTTACGCTACTGTGCAGGGTTCTCCAAGCTTTTTCATTATAGCATGGCGGGGCTGCCTTTACGGTCCTAGTTTTAACATTTTTTAGCATTTTTTAGCTAATTTTAGCATGGCGGCTATGATATTTAGAGTGGCGGGTGCATTTTAGGATGGCGGGGCTCGACGATAGCCTGGCGGGCCACCAGGCTATAAGTGCTCTTGGAGAACCCTGCTGTGTAGTTAAGCAATTCACACGGCATTTTGTTCTAATATAAAATCTCGTACACGTACAATACTAGCCACTCGTGCCGCTTGAATGCGAGGGAACATTTAGCTGTACAAGATATTAATATCGAGGTGGTTTTTTGTGTATTTGGTCAGTGAAGGTGTGAAACGAAGCGTGCATTGTTCAAATCGGGCGCTCATGCTTTCCCACCTGCTCTGTATTTCTGTGAGTTTGTGCACAGTGATGTACACGCAGTAAGATTGTGTGTTTCAGAGGAACGTTTGAGTGGTATTTAGAGAGAATTATGACTAATAATAGGTGAAAGATAGTAGATAAACATGAACACTGGTAGTAAATACAATATTGTGTTTACATTGTATGGATTGCCTTACACTGTAAGTGTAAGTATTAGTAATCACATCATTGTCTTATCACAGATTCTAAGCTGGTTCCGTGTCTACAATGAGGGAATACAAGATTGTTGTGTTGGGAAGTGGTGGAGTAGGCAAAAGTGCAATAGTAAGTTGAGTATTATTACTTATATACTTATTACTGTTTATTATTGTTATAGTATATTAGTATTATATTGTTATTATATTATTATATTACTTACTTATGGTATAGATAACAATGTAATATACATGCTACATAAATGCTCGTGATTTTGTATATAATGCTGAATCGCTGATAGTATTCTCAAATTTTAGTAATAATTTCATCCCTGCAAAGCAAGGAAAGCACATATTTCCTCGGGGGTAGCATAATTCTGGGATATTTTGTTACCATGGTTTGGCCTACATTTAGATTAGTTTCTGCGTAATTAATAAAATGCAGTACTTACTCACTGTATGTGTATTTGTATTATATGAGCAAGCTGGTCTGGTGAGATGAAAATGGTGATTTTGGACTTGTAAGAATTAATATTATATTACATTTGTCTACAGTTCATAGTTTAGTTAGTTAAAGCCTTGATTCAAATAAACTGCTATATGTACTGAAGAGGTAGTGTCAAATTCATCTTTCTACAAATATATGTAATCTATGTTTTCAGACAGTGCAATTTGTTCAAGGCATCTTTGTAGAGAAGTATGACCCCACGATAGAAGACAGCTATAGAAAGGTAAGTAAATCTGGTAAGGTTGTAAGTTGATGGGATAGTTTAACCAGTACAAGTGCCTTTTGGCCCTATATACTTGGATTTCAGCAACTCAATGGAATGAGGTTATCACGCACGAAGGGTGATGCCATCTTTGATTATTGATTACACTTGCACGCGCCATCTCGCGGCAACTATAGGCCTAGTTTAAATTAGATTTTATTCTCATGTAACTTTGTTAAACGAATAAATAATAACTAGTACCATATAATATATATTTACTTTTCATCTTGAATCTTAACATATATCATGTAGCTATGGCCGTGCATATCCATTTACCAGTCATGCGAACATAAGCTGTTACCATATTAGAGACACTATATATTATTATTTCTATGGCTGTTACACTCGGGGGCATAGGAACAAAGTATTATTGAGGGGGCAGTAAAAGGCATAATCGCTGGTTTTTTTTTAAATTGATATAATTAAGAGAGAGAGAGAGAAAGTCTAAGATAAAGAGAGAGCGAGAGTAGTAAATTGAGACGGGGACAGGAAAACGGTGATACGGTGTGTATGTGAGCGGGAAACGGGGTACAATTAGGTCGTGCGAGATGGTGTGCAAGGGGATGGGAGGTGGGAGGCAGGGGGAGGGAGG